AAAAATAAAATAGCCAAAACTGCGGATGATGGTGATTGTATGAAGAAGCAACTTACCGGGAGCATAATTTCTAGTGTAGTAGTAGTAGTAGTAGTAGCAGCAGCAGCAGCAGTAGTAGTACTAGTAGTACTAGTAGTACTAGTAGTACTAGTAGTACTAGTAGTACTAGTAGTAGTACTAGTAGTACTAGTAGTAGTAGTAGTAGTAGTAGTAGACTGGGTCTGGCTCGACGAGGCTTGACAGCCTCTAAAGAAGCCGGTGTCTGCACCACCCCGTGGCTAATGCTGCCAGAAAACAGGCCAGCCAATGGCAGGCCATCATGAGCACAAACATAAACCTGACCAATGCCAGATGTTGGTATGGTATGGCCACGGGAATCTCCAGTCGCTGTATGATCCTCAGCTGGCAAACTCCTAACCCCCCCCCCCCAGACTGAAGCATGGCAACCGGCAGCTGTGGCTGCAAGCAAGTGTGCCTGCGGAGCTTTTTCGGCCGAATCCCAAATCCCATGCACACCATACTTACGCAACTTTCAGGCAAAGTATTAGCGGGAAAGTCTCAAACAAAGCAATAACAGCATCAACTGTGTGTTTCGGCACTCCCACTCGGACACACCAACCGAGGCGTGTGTTTGTTTGAGAGTTCCAAGTAGGCTTAATTAGGGGTTTAGGGATGATCCTTGGGTTGGGAATTGTCAAACCGTGTGTACAAGGTCCCTCTACATCCGAGCAAGCCTGACCCATGAGCGCGATGTTGCGAAACAGGCTACAGCACAATGACAATCACTAGCAAACCGTGACATAGTCTTGAGAACCCTCGACCCTGAACCCATCTTGAGCTAAGGGTCTAAAGGAACTTATGGGTTGGAAGCAGCACAAACTGTGTTGACTGCCTTTAAGATGTCGGAAACTTGATGTGTTTTTAGGCGGCTCACTTAAGACTGACGAGGATTTGGAACATGATGGCTTCGGCCTTGAAGAGTTCGATGTTGGAACTGCTACTTACCAAGTTCTTTCCCAAAATCATCATTCACCAAACGATGACGATACTGCCGATAAATAACTATTCAGCTTCCTCTTTGAGACTTAATTACTACAATAACCTGCACACCTTCATAATTACCTATATTATTCCTTGGGGTCCTCATTACGATTCTACCACAATAGAAACCACCAAGCCCGATTCCGATGATTTCTTCAAGCCCCTTTATCATCTGAGCTTGTCCGAGAGTCTTCGACCCCTTGAGCAACCGCGTCAGCTTCAGAAGTCTCAGCACTCGGAGAACCTGGTAGGGTTTAGGGTTTAGGGTTTAGGGTTTGGATGCTCTGGTCACCACAGAAACACCGGCCAACTGGCTCATTCTGCTATCAGATTGCCTTACAGTCAACCCCTTACAGCCGACGGCACCCTTGCCTTGATGCTTTTGAGCTCCGAGAAGTTATTGCCGCCGCTTCCGCCGATCATCAAGCCGATCAAATCGAAGGGAAACAAGGACATGACATCCAGGACGAACCAAGATCTCCTCGCACTTCTTTGATCTTACCGGAGGCAAAGGAGCCTTTGCAATGTGATCTAGTAAGTGAACCACTGGATGCGAGTGTCCAGGGGTCGAAACATCATCCCAGAATCCCCGGTGCCAACGGCTCCGGAAGCTCATTGGATAAGCCTGTACTACGTTCCCAGAATAAACACGGCGAAAGGCCTTTTCAGTTGCTTCAGACCACCAGCTTTCAGGAGGGTCCAGTTGAAATTCTTCCCGGTACAGGATTTCGAGAAAGATCCAGGTGGGCTATATAGTTATGCCGGAATGCCGCATCGAGCTACCATGACACAACCCCTGCTCTCCCAATACAGAGTACATGCTTAGAGGGAGCTTCTTGCAGTTGTCAGCCTACTGCACCGGTGGCCATTGGCGCTTGTGCGGTGCCTTTGGGCTTGAAGCTGCGCTAGACAGGCATGTCCTACTATGAAGTTGCAGCAAAGCTGCAGGTACTGCTGTGAGATTGCCGACACCTTGGTCTCCCAGATCGTCCCGCGCACCGTTTTCTTGGAGTAGGTCGTGCAAAACTGCCTGGCGACAGGGTGTTCCTAGAGTCCTAGAGATATATCCTGCGTACTGCCCCCTCCCTGTAACAGTCAATACTACGTAGGGGCATAATAAAGGCTATATATGCATGTGTATGTATGTATATATATATACACACACACACACCTGGAACTCACCTAGCGCTTCTGCACGGCACTGTCCGTACGGTTGGGCAACGGTCCTGCATTCCGCCGCACGTGACTCCAGGTCAATGCCCTTTTTTCTCCAGAGGAGCAGAGTGGGGCTTTCTGCGTCAGCTCCCTCGTGCTGTTTATACTCCGGGACTTTTGTGTGTTTTGCGGAGCTGGAAGATTCTTGCTTTAGCAGCAGTATATCATGTCGGCAGAACAATCAACGAGGCGGTTGCGCTCCTTGCTGATTCAGAGGAAGGCCAGTTCGTCTGCGAGTCATGCCTTGACTTCAGCAATCTTGATCTCCAAGGCCACCCATGTGATCGCATTGTCGCGATTCAGTGCTACCCACCCCCAGCCAGCATGATGTCTGTTGTCAGGATTAAGAAGGGATGTCTGTGCCTTTTGTGGCTACAGACCGCTCGGATGTAAGCCGATGGTGTTCTATTCTCACATACTTCGAGTTCTCATCCCTTCGCTCCTGGCAGTGCACGGGGTGTCGATTCCACCAGATTTCGACTTAACTGTGGAGGGAGGCCACCTCGAAGGCGAAAAAGTCGCATTCGGACCTGCTGCTACTCTTGTCTTCCGGGCCAAATTTGCCTGCACAGGGGATCCTTGGGTTAAATCCTTGCAGCTGCCTCCTCCGCGCTCCTTGGACTTATGGGCAGAGACCAGCGTCTCCATCCGGGAAGGCAAGGCGTACACCCAACGGGCTGGAGCTGCTTGTAAGGCCTTGAACGAGTGTGCTGCTCATGCCCCGGGCAGCCTGGAGTGTCCTGGTCTTTGGGATGCGCTTCCGACTGCTCGCGTGCGGCTTGAAAGCCTCGGCTTCCTTTGTGAATCCTCTGGCCTGCGATCCCCGGATGGAGCCTTCTCGTTTCACTCGAAACCGTTAGCTTGGCGTGCGTCTGTTACAGACTCTCGCAATTGGAATATTTGCACGATACATTGGTATGTATATATATATATATCTCTCTCTCTCTCTCTGTGTGTCTGTATGTATGTATGTATGTATGTATGTGTGTATGTATGTATGTAGGCATGTATGTATGTAGGTATGTAGCTACACACATATACATATAAATATATATATATATTCCGTTTTTCTATTGATAATGAACTGTATCATATGAATTACTTTCGTTTCCTGTGAAAACATGCATCTTCCCTTCACCCAGCTAAGTAGAAAGCAATTCGCACGACTCAGGCACCATGAGGCTGCAAGCCGGGTGAAGCGAGCGATTGATGCTACAGGCTCTAAGTCAACAGTTGCTGGTAAAGTCCCTGCACGAAAAGACACTTCCCTAAACTCTTTAAAACCCAACCCGCAGAGGCTCTCGAGAGAGCCACGTGGAGGGACGAAGCACCTCCTCAGTCCTAAAGCCTCGACGAATGGTAAAAATGGGTTTTGTCTGCGCCACTCGCCCGAGTGCCAAAGATCTAGCTGCCAATTTTGAATACCACATGTTACTTGTTGGCATTGAGAAGATAGAGTACATGATAAAGGGCGAACGATCTTGGATGGGGGCACTGACGGCCAAAGGTCTCGCAAGGACTTATCTATAGGCTTGGCCAAGATGGTGAGATCAGAAGCAAACTAGCCATGTAGGCCTCTCGAACCTAACCAAAAACCAACATGGGGAATGCCAACTCTGAGCACTTCTGCACGCTATATGAGGTGCAGCAAGGGAACATCAGCAGATCCACGAGAAAAATGCCGTCCACACACAAGCTCACCGCGGCAAGCGTATCCTGTTGGCTGGCACCAGTCGAAAACCAACTCGGCGTTTGGCATCCCCTCGACCCAGATCCAGAACAGCATCCGACAACTTCGAAAGCTGTTTGCTTGCTTTTCGAGTGTGCTGTTTTTATCATCCACCCATTTAGTCATCTAGCCGGCTATCCGGGAATAGAGTGCGGTCTGCATGACATCATTGGGACCACCGATACAGAGTCGGAAAAAAAGGGAAACGTTCGCCTTTTAATTGTTCTGTGCAAGATCTCTTGGACAACGGGACTCTGAAACCAAGCTGCTGTCCAGTTGAAAGGCGAAGCCCTCAACCCTATAGACCCTGACCATCACCCCATCCACTGCTGCCCGGTCAGAGGGGTATGCCTTCATCTTCCGGGTCGTCAGGAAGGAACTTTTTTCAACCCTGCAACACGCCCGGAAGTTATCAATCAACAATGCCGCGGCCTCGAGAAACCCAGACCAGGACCAAGCCAGCAAAGACGGCTACTTCAGGAACCGCTCCGATCATGGTCAGCACTGGCTCATGCCATCATTGGCCGTGTCTTCAGCATCGAAAGCATCAAAACAGCCGCCATCCTACTTGCACATCCGTCAACACTTTCACCGGGACATCACCGCGATCAACATCAGTGGATGTGTCTGTGATGAGGCCCTGTCCATGCACTGCGAGCAGCAACAACACTTATACCAGCTCTGAACAAGGTTGTGGTCAGAAATGACTGGCGATTTCCACCTCCCAAACTAACACTGAACGCAGATCCGAGCGGCGAATTTGTACTCCGCGATGAGGCCGACTTGTATCGGTGTGATCCTACATGTGAGAGGGGGTTGCGAAGGAGAGGTTTCAGCAGGGAAATCTCGAGGGGTTATCTACATGCAAAGACCGGCGGAGACTGAAACAAGCAGACAGCCAGGGAGGGAGAGACGGAGACAGAGAGTGAGAGAGAAACGGCAAACAGCTCGCAAGGCCTTGGCAGAGTTTGTGCGGTCGTCTGCACCTAAACTTCCTGTCTGGACCGTGAAGCCTGCCTTCCATCGTCCTCCATCTTCAATACTAGAGTAGTTCCCGGAGAGTGAAGCAGAGGGAATGTGCCAATGAGTAGTGAGAACGCCAGAGACGGGTGAGGGAGTGAGTGGCGGGCGGGAGCAACCTCCAGTCTCATGTTATGTCCACGAAACGCCTCTGGCCTGGCATCCTGTGACACGCGCAGTGCCACTGCATAAGGAAAGCGTACGTGAAAAGCTGCGAATCAGGACATTTTGAGGACACGTCATACGACCAGCGGACAGCCACCATCCCGACAAGCTTTGGTCCTCATCACCATCTTAAACTCAAGGCCCTTGAGATCTGCCGCCAAGGTTCAGAGCGACAAATGTCAGCGCCAGGAAACTGAGGCCTTGCCAGACCGTGAACAAGGAGCTGCTGTCCTCAGCTGCAGATTCGTCCTCAAGCGGGGCCTAGGGCAAATGGCGAAGGTGCTTTTTCCACGCAAAAGCCAATGCCTCCGCTGAATAATGGTAGTAACTGATACTGACACTCTTACTCAGATCCCCGCGCTATATGTCTCCAATCGCATTGGCTCGGGGCTTTCAGGAGTAGACTTTCTAATCATCGCAAAAAGATTAGGTGAAAAAGGATAGCAAGAATTGCAATAGCAATAAGAAAACTATTCACAACAAAATGACAGCAATGAAGACGATGATAGAATGGTACAAACAATAATATAAACATTAACAACAGCAATAATAATAATGTTCCCTTCTCGAAGCAAGCCTCCCTCACCTTTTTCACAACATCGAAGAGAGACATGCAGAAAATCAAATCGAACTGGGGAAGCCAAGGCAGAAGCTGACAGTTGGAGAGGAAAACGCTCAAGGGCATGGAGGCAGGCATTGGCTAGGGTGAGGCAATCAAGTCCTTTGGGTTTCCTGAGTCTGGTCATTACGGGAACCTTAAGACTACGACCGGGTATATGGCTGAAGTGGACTAAGGACTCGGATAGTTACTTCATTGATACTGTGCTGTGCTACAGGCAAACCTTAACCCGCAGATCCAACATCTTGTTCTTCAGGGAGTCTCAAGAAGGCGCGAGACTGAAACCCTGTAATTAGACCAAGCTGCAGGATTGATGATATACCAGGGCTTCTCGATTTCAAACTGCTTCGTCTTCTGAGCTCGCAGGATCATGAAGTCAATCCGCGGATTGGCGAGCTTCCTGAAATGCAGCGTTTCGTATTGTATTGTGAAGCACAGCCACCAACGCCACAACCACCACCACCACCACCACCACAACAGCGACTTTGACAACTCGCCAGCGCCAGCGCCCGCACCCGCACCACCACCAAACGAGTACAACCACGACCAGGACGACTACTGATGGTGCCACTGCCACTGCCACTGCCACTACTACTACTACTACTACTACTACTACTACTACTCCTGCTGCTGCTGCTGCTGCTGCTACTACTACTGCTATTGCTACTCCTACTGCTACTGCT